ATACCTGGAGTACATATCTGTATACAGACACATACCTGGAATACACATCTGTATACAGAAACATACCTGGAGTACACATCCGTAGTACCTGTGCATGTGTATACTTCGGCATGAGTATGCTGTAGAGGTTGTTCAAGACAAGGCCACAACTTAGGACCATGTTTGAATGTATTGAACAACAGCGTACTCACCTGACACACAACATGATGCACAACCTAGTAACAACAGGAAAACAGGAAAACATTCACCAGCAGGAACACAGTACATGGAAACAACAGTAAAACATTCAACCCAATGGAGACACTGTACCTAGAAATAACAGGAAAACATTCAAAAAGCAGGAACACTGTACCTAGAAACAGTAAAACATTCAACAAGCATGAACACAGTACATGGAAACAACAGTAAAACATTCAACAGGCAGGAATACTTTACCTAGGAACGACAGTAAAACATTCAATGAGCAGGAACACTGTACATGAAAACAACAGTAAAACATTCAACGAGCAGGAGCACTGTACATGAAAACAACAGTAAAACATTCAACGAGCAGGAACATTGTACCTAGGAATGACAGTAAAACATTCAACGAGCAGGAATACTGTACATGAAAACAACAGTATAACATTCAACGAGCAGGAACACTGTACATGAAAACAACAGTAAAACATTCAACAAGCAGGAGCACAGTACATTGTAACAACAGTAAAACATTCAACGAGCAGGAACACTTTTCCTAGGAACGACAGTAAAACATTCAACAAGCAGGAACACAGTACATGGAAACAACAGTAAAACATTCAACGAGCAGGAATACTGTACATGAAAATAACAGTAAAACATTCAACAAGCAGGAACACTGTACATGAAAATAACAGTAAAACAGTGATCAAGCAGGAACACTGTACATGAAAACAACAGTAAAACATTCAACGAGCAGGAATACTGTACATGAAAATAACAGTAAAACAGTGATCAAGCAGGAACACAGTACATGGAAAACAACAGTAAAACATTCAACAAGCAGGAATACTGTACATTGAAACAACAGTAAAACATTCAACAATGAGCAGGAACACTGTACATAAAAACAACAGTAAAACATTCAACCCAATGGAGACACTGTACCTAGAAAAAGTAAAACATTCAACAAGCAGGAATACTGTACATGAAAACAACAGTAAAACATTCAACAAGCAGGAACACTGTACCTAGGAACGACAATAAAAACATTCAACAAGCAGGAATACTGTACATGGAAACAACAGTAAAACATTCAACCCAATGGAGTGACTGTACCTAGAAACAGTAAAACATTCAATGAGCAGGAACACAGTACATGGAAACAACAGCAAAACATTCAACGAGCAGGAACACTGTACCTAGGAACGATAGTAAGACATTCAACAAGCAGGAACACAGTACATGGAAACAACAGTAAAACATTCAACGAGCAGGAACACTGTACCTAGGAACGACAGTAAAACATTCAACAAGCAGGAACACAGTACATTGAAACAACAGTAAAACATTCAACCCAATGGAGTGACTGTACCCAGAAACAGTAAAACATTCAACAAGCAGGAACACAGTACATGGAAACAACAGTAAAACATTCAATGAGCAGGAACACTGTACCTAGGAACGACAGTATAACATTCAACAAGCAGGAACACAGTACATGGAAACAACAGTAAAACATTCTAGGAGTAGGAACACCTACATAGGAACGACAATAAAAACATTCAACAAGCAGGAACACAGTACATGGAAACAACAGTAAAACATTCAACGAACAGGAATACTGTACCTAGGAATAACAGTAAAACATTCAATGAGCAGCAACACAGTACATGGAAACAACAGTAAAACATTCAACGAGCAGGAATACTGTACCTAGGAATGACAGTAAAACATTCAATGCGCAGGAACACAGTACATGGAAACAACAGTAAAACATTCAACGAGCAGGAATACAGTACATGGAAACAACAGTAAAACATTCAAACGCTGTATCTGGAAACATCAGTGAAACATACAAAAAAACAAAGATTTTTCAGTATAGATACAACCTTCTACATATCTGTCAAACTTGTCATCAAAATGAAATTATTCTCCTCATACCGGTATCATTGAATAACAGTTAATAAAAACAGTCTGTGCTTTAAGTGGCATTAAGAGTATTAATTTTTTATCACTTTCATGCTTTCAATTTAATGCAATTTCAATTATAAGCGATACTATAGATATAATAGAATGTAATTTCACTTAAGTTCCCAAATGTTAACGTATATAGAGAGATAAGAGGTTTCTACAATCAATGATTTTGGATCTGTTTGTGATTCAGGTTTGGACACACCCATACCCACCAATCAATATTTAAAAAATCATTACAACTATTCCACTGTATAATTGGAAACAACTTTTTATAATTGGGATCAATTTTGTTCAAAAGGAAACATGCTTGGCCCACTCAATTTCTCCTCCCTTCTGCCGTTGGCTGTCTTAAAGGGACACCTGTTACTACAAGCAGTCTACTGCATGTCCGTATCCCACCTCTGCTTGTCAGTATCACCCAACCGTTGTCCGTAACACTCGACATCTGTGAACCGCTACACTTATTTATGGGAAAAGCTGTGGGTGATTGCAGAAAATTGCCAGACAATAACAGGCAGCATTTGAAACCAGAAGTTCTGTCTATGAATAGGAAGAAGTCTGTGATATAATTGGTCCCATTCGAGTTGAGAGAGTTATTTTACACTGGATAGGGTCTGTATCTCCCGTGAGGTCTGTGCCAGGAGTTGTACAATTTAGTGGAGGACATACCGGTGCTGTATCGTGCTTCACGGATACATGGTGGCCCATTAAGCAGTAAGTAATCACCCACACATCGCTCCATCATTGCGTTTCTACTCTATTGACCACCACTTGCTGCAGGTTGGCTGTCTACTTGCAAGATAATTAATCAGCGAGCTGAATGCTCTTTGCTCGTAACGGGAAAAAACAGTATTCTAGGATTGACCATAGAATGAGAAAAACAGGATGTTAGCAAACAGATATTTAATGAAAGAAATTGATACCACATAAAATAAATAAAAAATGAAGAGATGTTTCATGAAAAACTATATAGTCCTTTTTGTTTAATATTCTTCCAATAAACTGAAAAGGCTATAATAAGTTTATAGCACACATCAGATTAAGGGACTAAAGACTTCAAGATTAATGTTCAAAGAAAGTATCACACACGCAATTTTACACTTGGTAGAATACAGGAAGCATTGTCATAAATTTTTTTACCCCATTATATAATTTTGTTTTCACTAATCAAGCAGTCATGGGGATGACATCTTATGGACGTGAACTCTCTCAATCGGTTTTTATGTTTGATCTTGTGCAATATCAGACTCAGTTTAACAACACTTCAAAACAGGTTTATTTGGTAACACTGCCCTTCTGTGCCATCACAACACAGGAAAGTTTGTTCCGTACCAATGTGAATATAGAGGACACTACACTCATTCCCTGGGGGTTTGTCCTATAAATACTCCATGGAGGAGTAAATACATATCTATATCAGTGAGCCACTGGGTCCACGGTTCCATCAGAATGTGTTCCAGTGCTGCCGGCATGATACACTCACCTGTGTAGAACACCTGGTATCATGTCTTTTGTATAGTGATCCATGAACACTGCTCAGAATACAGTCGGAATCAAACTATGGACTCTGCTAAAGAAAGGGTTTTATTTCTTGTATTTAATTATGAAGAAAGAAGGAATAGAGTAAAAGTGCTGACAAAGATATTCTGTTTACGACTGCATATTAGCCACAGGCCGAGTGTATTCATAAAAAACAGAGGAACAACTCCCATAAGTAATTGTTTAATGATTGCCATGGAAACCAACTGATGGATGATATTTGAACACCTGTGAAAGTCTCCATGTGGAGTTTCAGTTTCCATTCTCTCAATGTTTCATAGACAAAAATGAAAACATACCAATACCTTAGTATGCAGGTGCAACATGGATCAATGGTAATGACAAAAATACCTTCTTCAATATGGTTGCCAAGTAAACAAAAAAACTTTCCATAGAGACAATTGAACATGAGATGAGATGTTGGAAGCGAGCCACGATGCTGTGTTTATTGCACTTTGATTCTTAAAGAAGGTCTTATCACTATTACTTTAACCGTCATATTGCTTAATTTAAACAGGAAACAAATATTTGTTCATTTATCTGATCTCTTAAAAAGACGTTAGGCACTTTATGAGTTTGGAACAGCTGCAAAACCCATCAGCACAATCCATCAAGCATTTTCTGGTGTGGACACAGTGACGGGTTGCCACAACACCCACACCATATCTCCTGCACATTGCCCACAGCGTGTGGACACAGTGACGGGTTGCCACAACACCCACACCATATCTCCTGCTCATTGCCCACAGCGTGTGGACACAGTGATGGGTTGCCACAACACCCACACCATATCTCCTGCTCATTGCCCACAGCGTGTGGACACAGTGACGGGTTGCCACAACACCCACAACATATCTCCTGCACATTGCCCACAGCGTGTGGACACAGTGACGGGTTGCCACAACACCCACAACATATCTCCTGCACATTGCCCACAGTGTGTGGACACAGTGACGGGTTGCCACAACACCCACAACATATCTCCTGCTCATTGCCCATAGCGTGTGGACACAGTGACGGGTTGCCACAACACCCACAACATATCTCCTGCACATTGCCCACAGCGTGTGGACACAGTGACGGGTTGCCACAACACCCACAACATATCTCCTGCACATTGCCCACAGCGTGTGGACACAGTGACGGGTTGCCACAACACCCACAACATATCTCCTGCTCATTGCCCACAGCGTGTGGACAGAGTGACAGGGTTGCCACAACACCCACAACATATCTCCTGCTCATTGCCCACAGCGTGTGGACACAGTGACGGGTTGCCACAACACCCACAACATATCTCCTGCTCATTGCCCACAGCGTGTGGACACAGTGACAGGGTTGCCACAACACCCACACCATATCTCCTGCTCATTGCCTACAGCGTGTGGACACAGTGACGGGTTGCCACAACACCCACAACATATCTCCTGCTCATTGCCCACAGCGTGTGGACACAGTGACGGGTTGCCACAACACCCACAACATATCTCCTGCACATTGCCCACAGCGTGTGGACACAGTGACGGGTTGCCACAACACCCACAACATATCTCCTGCTCATTGCCCACAGCGTGTGGACACAGTGACGGGTTGCCACAACACCCACACCATATCTCCTGCTCATTGCCCATAGCGTGTGGACACAGTGACGGGTTGCCACAACACCCACAACATATCTCCTGCACATTGCCCACAGCATGTGGACACAGTGACGGGTTGCCACAACATATCTCCTGCACATTGCCCACAGCGTGTGGACACAGTGATGGGTTGCCACAACACCCACAACATATCTCCTGCTCATTGCCCACTGCGTGTGGACACAGTGACGGGTTGCCACAACATCCACACCATATCTCCTGCTCATTGCCCACAGCGTGACATGACCTAGAGTTAAATACGTCTACCATCCATACAAACTTTAAGTCTCTGAGTTTGTTTAGATATAAATGAATCCTCAATTTTGATGCATGAAACAAGCCTGAGCTGCTTCACAACATCTGCAACCAATGTCAGGCCAACCATCACGTTGCTCTTTGAGGGGGGCAACAAGCGACCTGTTTATGCACAACAGACATCGACACGTTGCAACCATTTAGACCAGAGAACCGAAACACCACAATCTGTATTGTTGTGACAACAACTGTCAGTCACATTGTACAGGTAAAGTGACTGAGTGAGTGAGTAAGCTGGGTTTAGTGCTACTTTGAACAGTTACATATCTATCACTGTTTAGCTAGATTCAGCAACCAATATTTGTGGTAACATTTCACATCTCTGAATAAAAATAAAAATTCAAGCTTTGTTGCTGATTGGTGTTCCAAATGTGAAAAGATTTTGAGAACATGGGAAATGTTTCACAAATCAAAATATCTGATATATGTTGAAAAACACTTAGCAATAAAATAGGGAAATTAAACTCACACATTAGAGGCTGCTTCTTATCAGATTGTTATTGTGGAGTACCACTACATACACACGTCACTAAATAGGTTTAGAACATACTTTAATCTAGTTGTATAAACAGATCAACTATATATTGTCAAATACATGCTTCTGTTTACATGAATGTCAACATCTGTGTAAGCACAGGCTGATGATATGCTATAAACGGTGCAGTGGACCCTGGAAGATTGATGGAAAGAGTGTTTGTTACTTGTTGGTCGAAGAAGAAGGATTTCATCACAAACTTCAGTTTATAATCTTCATTAAACTACCATCTCCAGATTAATTCTGTGACACAAGTCACGTCTTCATTGTACGACCACCTACAGATTGATTCTGTGACACAAGTCACGTCTTCATTGTACTACCATCTACAGATTGATTCTGTGACACAAGTCACGTCGTCACTAAGCTACCATCTACAGATTCATTCTGTGACACAAGTCACGTCTTCATTGTAGTACCATCTACAGATTCATTCTGTGACACAAGTCACGTCTTCATTGTAGTACCATCTACAGATTCATTCTGTGACACAAGTCACGTCGTCACTAAACTACCATCTACAGATTCATTCTGTGACACAAGTCACGTCTTCATTGTACTACCATCTCCAGATTCATTCTGTGACACAAGTCATGTCTTTGTTAAACTTCCATCTCCAGATTCATTCTGTGACACAAGTCACGTCGTCACTAAACTACCATCTCCAGATTCATTCTGTGACGAAAGTCTAGTAACTTTTCACACCTTGTACCCAGGACAATGACCTCGCAGCTATTCTGACATAACCAGTATAACGAGTTACGAAAGAGACTCTAAATTAAACCTGACATGAGAATTTAATAACGGGCACATTCATCAACTCTTCAAAGCATACCGTGATATAGTTAAAAACTCCTCCGTCTCCATGAGGGGGTGTCAGTAATGAGAATGTAAACAGCTAGAATCATCAGTGAGTGAGAGACGGGAGTCAATAATCTGTGTTTACATTTGCAGTTGGCACTGGAAACAACAAGAGGAGTGTAAAGCAGGGGAACCTCTACCAACAGGAGGAGTGAAGCAGGAGAGGACTGCCTCTTCCAGCACTTGCTCATACCATTGATTGCACGGTTGGAAGGTCTGGCTTGCCCCATGCATTAGTGTAGTAACAACACTTCATGGAAGGTGCCCCATGGGTGTGGATTAATAAACGTCACTGACAAGGAATTATTGAAAACTCTCAGGCAAGGATCAAGTGTGGTACCTTGTTTAAATCAGAAAAAAATTCTAAATAAGATACTTGAGTTTTCTGTGAAAAAAGATCAACTTTTTTTTGCAAAAGTGCTTGTGTTTTGTGTCTGCTGCAGTGTGAGGTCATGAGATACCAGTGCTACTCAAGACACACATGAAGAAGTTGATAGGCATGTAATTTGCTGTGGTTGCCTGCTAGAACTACAGGCAATAATTGCCTCTGATGGTACACAAGTCAGCCTGCTTAGGAAACACAGACAATTCCATGTTCTCTTCTTGATGGAAATCAGATTTCTAGGGATCAGAGACCATTTTCCTCTGATTTTGTGCCTCAAGAGATACCAGTGTTGATGAACTGTAAAGGTAAGGGATTTTTCTGATATATTAATAGCTATTCCTAACTAAATTATCCTCTTAAATATTTAGCCTTATGATTAAGTATGACTTGTGGTCATACTTATTCAAAGTGAAAACTATTTTCATGACAGATGCAACAGTTTAATAAATATAATTATAAAATATGTTGTGTGGTCAAGGAAAGTCGCATGTTGTGCATTATAGAAAATCACAAGAACATATCATGTCAAAAATCCGCCTTCAAACATGTCTTGAATCACGAAAACATTCCACAGGTATTAGTCAGGATTTTTTCTTACTTTTTATAAACAACACTTACAGACTCAGACTTTTGCATAACACATAACACTAGCAAACATGTTAAATATGCTTCACTGTCAAGCCTCTTTCTAAAAGTTACTTCAACCTGGATGTGATGATGAATTATCGATATTGTTATGTACATGACAAAGGACAGTTGTACTGTACTGATCAATATAGAAGTAAAAGTGTAAATGATATTGTCATATATATTCCTGCTTTTTGTCATTATGGCAATATTTTGTACTAAAGTTGCATAATGTGCTATACATATTGATGCCACAGTTGATCTATATTAAAATGTCATGAAAACATCTCAACATTGATCGCCAAGAGATTATTAATAAAACATTATGAAAACGTCTGTCATTGATATTTCAATCAGATATCTAAAAAGATTTAATGAAATGTCTCACATTGATCTCAGGTGACTTAAATATAACGTTCGGAAAGTGTCTCAAACTAACTGATTCAACAGCATATGCATGACCCGATGGCAATGAAAACATTGAGCCACGCCATCATGTCGCTAAAAATACTGTTTGTGCCAGGCATCTACTGACAAGTCTCACCGAGTTCATTCTATGATCTACATATATATTTACATTTTGATACAAAAGCACACATTGATGTTTTTAATTGGGAAGTGACTCGTCGTCAGGAGCAAACAGAATCCCTTCTATTTCACTTTTCAGGGCTTTGTAGATGTCCACAGTTCACAGATAAACCAACTATGTAATAATCAGGTAGAATCTGGAATTTATATCCAAGATCTTAGGATCCTGACACACATAAGGGACATAACTTGCATCACTGGGCACAAGGTTGAGAGAGACAGTGATGGCTAATTATGGATAGTTACTGCATTTCAAATACTGCTAATATTGAGGTATGGAACCCTTCCTGCTCTACTTCCAAATTGGCCAATCAGTTTGCCAATTGGAGTAATATCCAAATCAAAAGTTTCATTTGTACATGGGATAGAAATAACATGTTTCCAACCATGTGACAATCATTAAATTCATCAGTGGTTATTTCTATACAGATATAGTCTAACTGATCACTTACAGAATGATGATGCTCATCACTGACAGTAACAGGTAGCCAATATTCCACTTACTACCGATTCCTTCACAGCCAAATATCACTGTGTAAGAGAAGATATCAGCATTGATGTATTTGAAATCCCTTCTTAAGAGTCTGTGACTGAGCACTATTCAAATATAGTTTATCTTGAACCTTCAATGCTGGAACACGAGGTTGCATCAACATTCTCACAAAGATCAATGGGATATGTTCTTATTATGTTTTATTAAACACTTCTCAAAGGAGAATGTGAGATATTCTCATGATGGTTTTAAACATTTCTCAAGAGTGAATATAAAATATTCTCATGACATTTTATTAAAATCTCTTTAAGATGAATGTGATGCTTTTTCACCACACTTTTCAAAAGTCTCTGATTGAAACACGTTTTCATGATGTTTTATTGGAAGTCTCTTAAAAACATATTTGTGAAATGTTTTCAATATGTTTTATTAAAATATATAATAAAGAATGATTGCAACATGTTTACATGACATGCATTTTTTTTACAAAAATCACTTAAATATCAATACAACATGTTTTCAAGACATTACATAAAAAATCTTTGAAAGCTGACCATGAGAAAGAAGATTGTATGGCTATTGCTGCCATAATGTGAGAGTTCCACCAAACACAACGTACCTCCACAGGCCACCTCACAACTCTTGTTTCTCTAGGGAGGTGTGGAACCAGAGGAAGAAATAACATCTTTTTACAAACAACAGGCCCAAACAATTCCATTGCTTGTTTTACAGCGTAAAACAAGTTAGACACACATTTTTTAGCAATATTCCAACAATATCATGGTGGGCGACACCAGAACTGTAAGGATACGTGGTGCCTAATAAAATGACACACAGTGTAATGGTTGTAAATGAAGAATGAATTCAATGATAATTATAACAAGCTGAATTTAACAATATTAGAATTAAGGTTGCATCTTGATGCTGTTTGCTCTTTTATTTCAGTAATGTTTTGATAGATATGTTAAAACTACCAGCAAGCTGAGGTTGAAAGTTTATGATGACACACAGTATTTATATTCATGCACTGTGAGTAACCTGTACATGATGAAATATTTTGGCCTGGCCTCAATAGATCCATGGATCATCAACATACATAAAGTCCTACCACTGAAATAAGCATGGGGCTGTGCTCACTTCACTAGATGGTGGAGGCAATATCTGTAATCTTGAATTACAGAGACCAAAGGGAGAAGTGAGATAGGCGGAGATAAGCTTTAAAGCAGGATTCATACAGGCATGTACTGTACAGATGCTGGGCCTTTGATGTAAACAGAACCAGTTGTGTGGTCAGCTAAAAGACATGTTGTGCATGGACTCTTCAAGTTACCGTGACCTATTCTGCATGGAATTACTACAGGGAGACACACATTGCATACTCTAGGCCATTTCTCCATGAAATTCCTATAGGGAGACACACATTGCATACTCTGGGCCATTTCTGCATGGAATTCCTACAGGGAGAT